TCACAAACACAACAAATTCAAATTTAAACAAATCACTTGAAATCTCAATGTTTATAATCTACTAATTAATTATGTAATAAAAAAACTACGGCTGACATTTTTTTATATCCAAAGCGCGCTGGCATTTAACCCACGGTGCGCGTTTGAGCGGGCGTGACATTAATGAATATATTTTTTCTACGCCCACACGCATTCAGCCCACTGTGCAACAGTATCTAATGTTATCATCTATTACGAAGCATTAATTGCTGTTTTTTTTATTGAAAGAAGAGTTTAGTGACTTGTAACGCTGCTTATAAATTGACAGACTATTATGATATTTTTTTTATGGTACAGGTCGGCAAACGAGCAGACGGATTACCAGATGGTAAGCAATCAGCGCCGCCCATGGACACCCGCAACATCAAAGGAGTCACGACCTTTTGGAGATACGACTTGTTTCGGGTACTTAAAGATTTTTTTGAAGGATTTGGGAGTGGGAAGATTCGGCGGTCGGCTCGAACAGAGTGATCAAACGACCTCACAGAAAACTGGTTTTAAACCACCACAGCGTTGTGTTTCGCCGTGTGAGTGAGGTTACCGGAGGCCCAATTCTTTCCCTTCCCCAATCCCTAAATCCCCAAAAGGTCGGCAACGCACTTGTAATTCCTCCGTTGTGTCCAAGGGCGGCGCTGATTGCTTACCATCAGGTAATCCTTCACCTCAGGCGTCCTACCACATAAAAAAAAAACATACTGGTTTCAGCCAGTTGTTTCGACTTCGCTACCAAAAACTAGCTTATTGATTATCCAGACTATAATCTATCTCTGTGCCAAATTACATTCAGATCCGTTCAGTAGTTTTAACTTGAAAGAGTAACAAACATCCATCCGTACTTACAAACTTTCGCGTCTATAGTATTGGTAGGATAATTATTTTTTTATTTCACATTCGTTATAACCTGTTTTCATTACCACACACTTATAAGGAGATGGGACCGAGTGGAATGACTAACCGGGCTGCCAAAAGATACCGTTACGTGAAGCCATTGCAAAAAAAAAATTATTGATTTTAATCAACTCTTTTATATGCATGTGGGAATTTCTTAATGTAGCTTTTATGTGCATCATCACCAGCCTTTAAGTGCCCACTGCTGAGCAAAGGCCTCTTCTCACACGGAGACGGTTTGAGCATTAATCACTACGCTTGCTTAAGGCGAATTGGCGATTTTAAACTTCAAAAAGTTCAGCAGTGTGATTCTGTAAGACTTCATTTTGAACTTCGAATCTGAATCCGCTGTGAGTAGTAGTACACTAGCGCTACACTTGCGAGTTGAACTAAACTGGCAGCAACATTTTGGTAGATAAAGTATGAAATGACGTTAAAAATGGCATTCTATAATGTTATTTCCCCGTCACTTTGCTCACTTCACACACTCGAACAAGATTCAAAATCAAACAATTTTATAGAACCGACGTGCAAGTTTCCTCACGATGTTTACCTTCACCTTGTTTGTCAGTGGTGTTTAAATAATTATAGCTCGTAGAACTCGGAAAAAGTCACATTGGTTCTTGCCAGGTTTCGGACCCGCACCCTCATGCATGAGAAGTGAGACCTTTACCTCCTGCCCATTACGACATTTTTTTATATATATGACGAAACTAAATCATTTTTAATGGGATATGGCGAGAAACGATGTTATGGATCACAATCAGTATCCAGCTCTTGATGGTAAGCAATTCGAATCACATAACACAGAAGACTTTTTTGGAGGGGAAAATCATCTAAATATTTCTCTTCGCCCTGGGTGGGACAAAAGGGAGTGTCAGATTCTTACTGACTAAAAACCTTCCCATTCCTTCTCCTGCTCCAAGCCGAGGCCGTAGTACATTGTTGCGCTTGATCCGCAACTTCGGCTGAACATCAGCTCTGACGGGCCCCATCTGTAATGGTCTTTTGGCTCTTTGAAGCGCGAGCGGAACGCTACGCGCCGTACGCTCATGTCTGGTTCTGGTCGGGTGGCGAGCTACCTTTGTTCGTCATCCACAGGCCCGCGATTACGGTGGCTGAAGTCTGAAGTCTCGTCACGAGATCCTCAATGCTTAGAGTGTCTCCTACTGCTGCGGCTCAGGGGTGTGGAGGATAGTAGATGCTTCCCCTTCCCAAGATCTCCAAATTCCTAATCCCCAGACAGTCGGCAACTCACTCATAACTCCTCCGTTGCCGCTGGTGTTCGGGCGGCGCTGATTGTTTACCATCAGGTAATCCGTTGGCTCGCAAAAACGATCAGACCTTAATAACGTTGTCATGTATTGTTCAATTAGGAGGTATCCCGATACAAGGGTTAGCCTTAGGCGGTACAAAGATAAATAAATATCAAAGAAATGTCATATTGTGGGTTGAGAAAAACTTTCTTCTTCATAACGTAGACTATGTAGGTTTTGTTTGTGCCTTCGTTATTTGCAATGCTCATACTAATCTTTTTTTTATGGTATAAGTCGGCAAACGAGCAGACGGATTACCTGATGGTAAGCAATCGGCGCCGCCCATGGACACCCGCAACACCAAAGAAGTTACGAGTGCGTTGCCGGCCTTTTGGGGATAGGGGTTGCGGATATAAGGATTGGGAAGGGATAGGGGAAGGGGAGGGATTGGGCCTCCGGTAACCTCACTCACACGGTGAAACACAACGCTGAGGATTGTTTTACGCCGGTATTCTTTGAGGCCGTGGTATCACTCCGGTCGAGCCGACCCATTCGTGCCGAAGCTTGGCTCTCCCACACTTTTCTACTATTTAATAGATGTTATTATACATGACATATAAACCTTCCTCTTCAATCAATTTATCCATAAAATTTTGGAGAGCCACATTAGCTTCGGCACGAATGGGTCGGCTCGACCGGAGTGATACGACAGCCTCGCAGAAAACCAGCTCGAAATAACCACAGCGTTCTGTTTCTGGAAGGGGAAGCGGAATTCCTATCCCTAATCCCTCCCCAATCCCAAAATTTCCAAATCACTTATCCCCAAAAGATCGTCAACGCACTTGTAACACCTCCGTTGTTACGGGTGTCCATAGCCGGCTTTCACGTAAAAAAAATGCTGATACTAAATTTCTCCACTATTTAATGGATGTTATTATACATATAAATCCTTTTCGATTTAATAATAGACTCGGCTAACCTTAAACTTCATACGATTATTAGCTATCATGAAAATAAAAATGAATGGCTTCACACGTAAATTCACGTAGAATTAGGGTTACCATATCAAAAACCGGACGCTTGATGATAAAATAAATAATTTTATTTTTTTAATATTTTGGCAAAGTTTTGTTTGTAAATAAGGATGGATTTGTTTTGATTTGTTACTCTTTCACGTAAAAATTACTCAACGGATTTGAATGAAATTCGCGTCGAGATAGTCTACAGTCTGGAATAAAGCGTAAGCTACTTTTTACTCGGGTACTGTGGCCAAATCTACTGGCAGAATCTAGTTTTCAAATAAGTAAATGTTCAAAAATATCACAAATATATTATATAATATTACAATGCGGCCGACGTATCTTGGCGAGTCTGAAGTTAGCTGTTTGTTTGCGCAATGGATCTTTTAGGAACAAAATTGTGTACTGCGCAGCTAATCGGCTAACTTCAGACTCGCCAAGATACGTCGGCCGCACTGTACTATTCTATATACATATTTATTATTGTTATTCTATAGAACTTTCTATCGCCTGTGTTCATCTATCGAATTGGCATCTGCGAAATATTATATCGATTACGAATATTATGAGGCTAAAGAGTTTGTTTGTTTGAACGCGCTAATCTCAGAAACTACTGGTTTGAATAGAAAAAATCTTTTTATGTTTAATAGACCATTTATTGAGGAAGGCTTTATGCTATAAAACATTGCGCTACGATTTGTAGGAGCCGAGCAGCGACTGAAACCGCGCGAGATTAGCTAGTATATCATACATTTTTTTAAATTCGGACGGGTAACTACGTCATCGAAATTTCCGATCATGTCCGTTGAATTCCGGACGCATGGCAACCCTGTACAGAACGTAAATTTAACTGTACAATTACCGTAAAGTTTTTAAAACAATTCAATTTCATGGTTTAAAGTTTTTCGGGTTATTATCATCACGAATGACATACTGACTTACTGATGTTGTAAGTAAATGTGATCACGGCTATTTTACGGATGGGTGGGCAGGAATCTACCTAGTTAGTGTTTTTCGTTCAGTTACGTTGTTAAATTAAAATCGGATGAGAAAAATAAAGGCGGATTGTTTTTCTAATCTTAAACTTATGTAATGATATGATGCTGAAGACTTTGTTTGTTTCATCATCATCAGCCTATAAGTGCCCACTGCTGAGCAAAGGCCTCTTCTCACACGGAGAAGGCTTGAGCATTAATCAACACACTTGCTCAATGCGGGTTGGCGATTTCAAACTTATAATTAGAAATTATAAGTCCAGGTTTCCTCACGATGTTTACTTTCACTGTATGTCAGTGGTGTCTCAATAATCATAGAAAGTACAAAGAACTCGGAATAAGTCACATTGGTACTTGCCAGGTCTCGAACCCACACCCACGACACGTTTGTTTGTTTGTTTGTTTGTGTCACGAATTACTGTTGTATTTGAATTTTTACTAAAGATCCAGTTACAATATACTATATTATGTATTTAAAACAAACAACGTACTTATTTTCTATTATTTCGTCATTGGTTTAATTAAGCTATGAAGCATAAAAGAGGTTATTTTCTTGTGGTAAGTAATGTCAACAAATAATATTCAAATAAAAAAATGTCATAGATAATTAAAACATAAATATCATGATTTTTTTTTAACAAACGGACCTCGCTTGGTGTCTCTCTCTCTCTCTATCGAAGTATTTTGAAATAAATCTTTTATTTTTTTTTGAAATTTGTAAAACTTATATTTATTTAAGAAGATAATAAAAAATATTTAAAGTAGAGTACAGTATACGTATAATAATTACAACTTAAACTTACCTTTAGCTAGGACGGCATGCACAAAACACAGACACATTAAAAACTTTAACGCGGCCATCTTGGATATTTTGACAGCTATTTTTTTATTTCACTCAAAACACTAGACACTTTGATTAGGTACCTGAAACAGAAAGAAAAAACAATTATTAATATAGTAATAATATAAAGGCGATTGAGCAAACTACTAAGGGATTCGGTTGCGCTCTTTTTTCGCACAGTAAAGTAGTAAAATTGGACACAGGTTAGGATTATTGAAAAACAAGTGTGTGAGAGCCAAGCTTCGGTACGAATGGGTCGGCTCGACCGAAGTGATACTACGGCCTCACAGAAAACCGGCGTGAAACAACCACGACTTTGTGTTTCGCCGCGTCAGTGAGGTTACCGGAGGCCCAATCCTGCCAAATACCTGAATCTCCAAATACCTAATCCCTAAAAGGTCGGCAACGCACTCGTAACTCCTCCGTTGCGGGTGTCCATGGTTGCTTACCATCAGGTAATCTGTCAGCTCGTTTGCCGATTTATTACATTGAAAAAAATTTACACTAGTAATCAAAGTATAGCTGTCAATCTGTCACTTCTGTCAGTCTGACACTGACACTGGTCAAGGCTGGACGAGTGCTGTTTTTTTTTTTGTGAGGGGAAAATCATCAAATGCCTTCTCCCGCCCAGGGCCGGGCGGGAGGGAGTCTCAGACTCTTACTGACTAAAAACCCCCCTGTTCGTTCTCCTGTTCTGCAACACCGCAACCCCGGCTGAACATCAGCCCTATAGGGCCCCGTCTGTGGTGTTCTATTGTCATCATCATCATCATTAGTCAAAAAACGTCCAGTACCGATAACCCTTAATCCAGTACATCTCTTCTTAAAATCCCGCGCTGCGATTCTGACATGCAACTTTTTGAGGTCACTCGACTAATTTCGAGCTACTACCGGGTCTCATAAAAATTTTAATTGCTACACAAAAACTAACCTAACCTACCCCGATGTCCCTTCTTCGCTTGTTGTTCTCGAAACCACTGAACCAACCATCAAGCCATTCTTATATGTATTAATTCACTATACACAGGTAATTAGGTATCTACCATTGTCTGTCTGTCCGTCAGTACAGTTTAAATGATACCGTAAATCGTTCTTCAAACGCATCGCTGGCAACCACCAGAGCGTGGCGGGTTCGATTCCCGGGCAGTGATTGATAATTAAAATAACCATTGCCTTTGTGAAAAAGAGTTAATTTATTGGTTAATTATTATGTGTGTGGTAGGGTCATTTAACTGGTCAGTTCCTTTTCAAAGTAGGGGAAGGGGGGGCTTCTCCCATTAAAACAAAATGCCTACTTATTAAGTGTGAGAGAGCCATGCTTCGGCACGAATGGGTCGATTCGACCGGAGTGATACCACGACCTCACAGAAAACCGGCGTGGAACAGCCACAGCGTTGCGTTTCGCCGTGTGAGTGAGGTTACCGGAGGCCCAATACTTCCCCAATCCCAAAATGTCCAAATCGCTAATCCACAAAAGTTCGGCATTCGTAACTCCTCCGTTGTTGCGGGTGTGTTGTCCATGGGCGGCGCTGATTGCTTACCATCAGGCAATCCGTCTGCTCGTTTGCCGACTTATTACATAATGGAAAACCTAGCCATCGACTTTTCCAGTTCACGTTAATTCAGCCGGTGTTGCTGGGCAAGCGCGATAAGGTACCGCGGCCTCGGTGCAGAGCAGGAGAAGGAACTTCACTTTTATGTGATTGGTCGACAAACTAGCAGACGCATTAGCTGATGGTAAGCAATTACCGCCGCCCATGGACACTCACAACAACAGAGGAGTTATGAATGCGTTGCCGAACTTTTGGGGATTTTGAGATTTTTGGATAGGGGGAGGGGAAGGATTGGGCCTCCGGTAACCTCACTCACACGGCGAAACACAACGCTGTGGTTGTTTCACGCCGGTTTTCTGTGAATCCGTAATAATAACAAAAAAATAACATTGTCTCATCAGGTTTTCTGTTAGGTCGTGGTATCTCTCCGATCAAGTTTGCCTATTTGCGGCGATACATAACTCCGAAACTCTACGCTGGCCTTAGCATACCAAGTCTCCATTCCAGAACAGAGCGTAATAAGTTCATAAATTAATTGCCTTAGCTCCAGCAAACAGGGCCGGCAGGATGCAGTAGCTATTAAAACAAAAAAAAACCCGGTCATAAGCGAAACATACTTGCGCACAGAGGGTTCCGTACCTAGGAGCTAGTATTAAAATTATCCCATTTGTTGTACCTATAGGTCCCGCTTTTTTTATACTAAATGTGGGAGAGCCATGCTTCGGCACGAATGGGTCGGCTCGACCGGAGTGATACCACGGCCTTACACAAAACTGGCGTGACATAACGTTTGTATTGCGTTTAGCTGTGTGAAAGAGGTTAGTGGAGTCAACATCCCTTCCACCTCATCCTCAATCCTCAAATCCCCTATCCTTAAATCCCGATAACCCACAAGAGGCCGGCAACGCACTTGTAGTAACTCCTTTGGTATTACGAATGTCCATGGGCGGCGCTGATTGCTTACCATCAGGTAATCCGTCTGCTCGCTTACAGACCCATGCCATTAAAGGGCGTGCACTTGTAACTACCTCCTAGAAATTGCGAGTGTCCATGGACGGCGCTGATTGCTTACCATCAGGTAATCTGCCTGCTTGTCTTACACACAACACTTTTTAACACAAACTTGTGTCACTTTATGACTTAAATCGCTATCCACAAGAAAGCGTGGTAAAATCCTACTTCCACTACCAATTGAACAATCAGAAACGAGAAAGTTTGTAAGTACGGATGGATATTTTGTTACTGTTTTCACAAAAACTGCTGAACGGATCTAAATGAAATTCGGCACAAAAATAGATTATAGTCTGGAATAACATTTTTTTTTGTAAAACAAAAACGTTGCACCACACTAGGATTTTCTCGTGTGTCGTGGATGCGTTTATAAACATACAATTTCACATACACACCACACCTAGATCCGGAACAACAATTTTGGATCACCCATCAAGTTGTTCTGAGCTGGATTAGAACCCGCGACACGTTGCGCGGCAGCTTGTTGCCCAGCCACCGCGCAAACCGTGCAGTCAAATGCAGTACTTTTTCATGGTAAAGCGGCCGAAACCGCAAACAGAAGTTAGTGAATGATTAATTTTTCTAAAAAAAATAATTTGCCAGGCTGTGGAACGATTTACAATCCAAACTTCCAAACTAATTATTATAAATGCGAAAGTTACTCTGTCTGTCTGTCTGTTCGTCCGTATGTCTGTCTTTTCTTCACGCCTAAACTATTGGACCCATTTGTGTGAAATTTGATACTCGAGTTTTGCGGAATACGGCGAATTTTGGTTTAAAACAGTTTTTAAGCCAAAAATCGCCAACCAAAGAAGTCACTATTCCACGCGAAAAAAGTCGCGGGCAAAAAGCTAGTCTAAAAATAAATATAAAGAACAATTTTATTATTGAAAGGGACTTTGTAAGACGTTCACGGAACTCTAACCTATGTATAATGATTTAGTCTATATTAAACAAATGAAAAACGGTAATGTAGGTAGCTTGGTGTAATTGAAAATTATAAATTAAAAGGCCTTGGGATTGTTTCGCCTCGGGGTGCAATGAAATAAATTTATTGTAATGTTGTTTTTTTAAATAAGCGAGTACCTATAATAAGGCTTTGTTCGCGTAACTTAAGAGTGGGAGAGCTTAAGTGTAAACGTGCCCGCGTGATCAATAAAAAAAAAAAAGATTTCTCCCTCAAGAAAAGCCATCGAAAACTCAAAAAAACAATGGCACGTCTATCTAAAAATAAATTTGTATGTAGGGGGTTATCTTTGGAACCACTGGTCGGATTGCCAAAATTATTTTACAGATAGATAGCTACAATGTTCCTGATTGCTATATGCTGTAAAACATCACGCTACGATCAAATAGAGCCGAGCAGCGGGTGAAACCACGCGAGTGTTGCTAGTACCTATTTTATAAAATTCATTTTCAAATTTTATTGCCTATTTATTACCTAGTATCGAATATGATTTGTTGTTATTCTTTTTAATTACTGTTTTAAGAGCTTTTTAGACACAAAAAGACCATAAAAAGGATTTAATTAGCAGTATTTAATTTAAATGCTCTGCAGTAGGCACTTATAGGCTGATGGTGATGATGTGAAGTAATTTAAGATGAATGCTGTCAGTTTGATATCCGGATTATTATAGATATTTATTCTTTATACTTCATCATCAGCCTATAAGTGCCCACTGCTGAGCAAAGGCCTGTTCCCACACGGAGAAGGTTTGCTCAAGGTGGATTGGCGTTTTCAAACTTATAATTAGAAATTATAAGTTTAAGTTTCCTTACGATGAAACAATGAAACAATGAATTTATTTTTGCAAATAGGCCATAAAACGGCACTTTTACACGTCAATTTATATGTAAAAAACTAGATGTTTCCCCTTACCGTATATTACAAATGTCATTGGCGACTAATTAACTTAAAAGTATTAAGTTTCTGGATGTGTCGATCCACGACACAGGAGAAAGTCCTAGTTTGGGGTAACAATTTTTCTTTTACATAAATAATATTATAAATAAGTGTGGGAGAGCCAAGCTTTGGCACGAATGGGTCGGTTCAACCGGAGTGATACCACGGCCTCACAGAATACGGGCCTGAAACAACCACAACGTTGTGTTTCGCCGTGTGAGTGAGGCTCTCGGAGGCTCAATTCCTCCCCTCCCCCCATCCTTTCCCAATCCTTAAATATCTAAAACCCCTATCCCCAAAAGGCCTGCAACCCACTCGTAACTCCTTTGGGCGTTGCGGGTGTCCATGGGCGGCGCCGATTGCTTACCATCAGGTAATCCGTATGCTCGTTTGCCTACTAACACGGTTAAAAAAAAAATACTATCAAGCCCCGGCTTCGAAAATGTGCAATGCTGATACTAAATTTCTCCACTATTTAATGGATGTTATTATACATATAAACCTTTCTCTTCAATCACGAATAGAATTCCTTCATTGTTTGGAAGCCTTAATCTTCGAAACTACTGGTTGGTTTTGAACGAATCTTGTTGTGTTGGATAGACCATTTAGCGGGGAAGACTATAGGTATTAAAACTTCAAGTTACGACCTATATACCTACTTAAAGTAGGTAAGCTATTCATTTATATAATGTACATTTGGTGACATCATTTAGTCATCATTTCCTTGAACATAAACCCAAGTAAATAAAGTTGTTATGTAAATTTGACTTGTGGTATTTACATTCATTTTCTTTATGAGCTTAAATAATTCTCAAGAATTATTCTAATCACTGGTGTAAGCAACTTTATGATTAGTTCAGCAGTTTTTGAGTTTGTTGCTACAAGACAGACTTAGACGGTGGTAGTTTCTTGCTCTTTCATTATTGTTTTCTTTGTCTGATAGATCAGCACACGAGCCCACCAAGGCTGATGATCAGCCGGGTTTGAGTGGCAAGTGCCATTAGGTACCGCGGCCTCGGCCTAAAGCAGGAGAAGGAATGGAGGGGTTTTTAGTCAGTAAGACTCTGATACTTCCTTTCGCCTTACCCTAGGTGGGAATAGTCATTTGATGTTACTCTCCCATTATGTTATTTTTACATTGTCTGCACTTGAAAAGAGACTGACCTCTGAGTTTGTTCGGCATTTCTTCTCAGAGTAGTCAGATAGCAAATGCCGGCTTCATCTAGTTTTTCACATATAAATTGACGTGTAAAAGTGCCGTTTTATGGCCTATTTGCAAAAATAAATTCATTGTTTCATTGATGATTTTCTTCTCAAAAGAACAAAGCGTGTGAAATAGACGATTTTCCTCTTTTCTTTTTTATAAAACAAAGAAATACGTAGCGTGTGCAGAACTTCTGCTCGGTGGATCGACTACCTTGACAGAGCCGCAGGGAGCCAATGGATGCAGGTGGCGAGTTGTCGTTCGACTTGGAGGACTAAGAGGCTTTGTCCAGCAGTTTTTTAGTGTAATTTAATCGGCAAACGAGCAGACGGATTACCTGATGGTAAGCAATCAGCGTCGCCCTTGCAACAACGGAGGAGCTACGAGTGCGTTGCCGACCTGGGGATTAGCGATTTTGGGATTGGGGTAGAGAAAGGATTGGGTCTCCGGTAACCTCACTCAGACGGCGAAACACAACGCTGTGGTTATTTCACGCCGGTTTTCTGTGAGGCCGTGGTGTCACTCCGGTCGCCGACCCATTCGAAGCATGACTCTCTCACACTTAAAACCGTTGGACGTCTTCCAGCTGACGATGACGATGATGATAATGATGATATTGACCAAATAAACTCTTTTACAACCGTGATCAAAAGAAACGATTTATAAGTTTCACATTTCGAAAATGGTCATGTACCCACTGTCCACCCACATGTATGTAGGTATATGTGTGAGTGGGCGAATACAGTATAATGACTCATTTTCCTTGATTCTCGCTTAGCACACAATGACGGGAGGTCATTCCAAGGTTTTGTCGTGGACTTAGATGGTCTTGTGTATCTTAGTTTGTTTTAGAACAGAACTACGTTTTACTCGCGACTTTGTTCATTTGACCACCTTTTTTTTCGTTAGAGGAAGATCATCAAATGGCTTCTCCTGCCCAGGGCCGGGCGGAAGGGAGTCTCAGACTCTTACTGACTAAAAACCTCCCTGTTACTTCTCCTGCTCTGGGGCGAGGCCGCGGTGCCTCATTGCGCTTACCCCGCAATCCCGGCTGAACATCAGCCTTATAAGGCCCCATCTGTGGTAGTCTATTGGCTCTTTGGGGCGCGCGCGGAACACTACGCACCGTACGCTCGAGTCTGGTTCTAGTGTGGCAGCGAGCTGCCCTTACTCGCCGACCGCAGACCCGCGCTTACGGTGGCCGGAGATCGTCTCTTGATCCCCGACGCCCGTAGTGTCGCCTGTTGCGGCGGCTGGGGCGTGAGGAGGAGGATTGCTCCCTCAACGCGGGCCGTCTCCCTAATTGCGAGCATACCTGCTGCACAGAAGGTGGAGACGGCGTCCCAGTTCCTCTCACTCCGATCATTTGACTACCTACACTACTTTACCTACAATAGTTACCTTTCTGCCTACTCTACACTACCTTACTAAAGGTGACACGGGGTGAAACACAATGCTTTAGTTGCTTCACGCCGGGTTTCTGTGAGGCCGTTGTATCACTCCAGTCGAGATGACCTATTCGTGTTGAAGCATTGCTCTTCAACTCTTAATATGTGGCGGACAGGAGGGTAAATCATCGTTTCTCTAGCATGTAGATACTTGGCAAGTAACAATGTATGTTTGTGACGTTTCCTGAATTATTTGTTATAGTGCTTATGTACATTCTAAGATTATTTAGACACCATTTACAAGTACACCCATGGTGAAGGAAAACATCGTGAGGAAACTTGAACTTAGGATTTTAAATTATGGGTTTGGAATCGCCAATCCGCTAAGCATCGTGATGCTCGCTCCTTCTCCGTGTGAGAAGAGGGTTTTTGTCAGCAGTGGAATATTTAAAAGCTAATAATGATTAGGTTTTTTATTGATTTTAACTTCTGAATGTATGTATGTATCCAACTAATATTATAAAGGAGAGAATTTATGGATGAATGTGCGAGTTAAATTCGTGCGAATCGTCCAATAAGCCGTTTGTGTACGCAAAAATTGCTGGACCGATTTTGTTGAAATGCCGTACGTAGACAGGGATTTCACAATAAACCAGGAATTAGGTACATGATACAACCTGGATTGACAGACAGGCCATACTATACGGGCAAAGCCGCGTGTGGAAGCTAGTCCTATGTAACATTTTATTCTAGCCATTTTTGTCCTAAAAACAGTCTGCAAAGACTAATGTAACTTTAGTAGATGGCACCTATTTTTGGAACCATAATTCGGTTTAGGTACTTATCTAATTTTGTGCCAAGAATCGTGAAAATCTGATTACAACTTAGTGTCGACCTTAATCTACTTAAGAATAAGGTACAATAATGAAATAACTTTATATGTAGTTACAAGAAAGAAAAAAACCTAAGAAAGTTTCCCCTGATTACAATAAGCTTATTACAACGACACGACTTATTAGCACTAAGTCTATATCTGTCTCTTTCACACTTTCCCGTTTTAAGCAAACGTCCCTTTCGCACAAAGTGTTAACCTAACCTAAGTTCCTGGAACGAAATGTTATTTGACAGATTGAGTTTTTTTTTAAGAAGGACAGCTTTTCAAATACGTTTTTTTTTAATAAAGAGGTTTGCTAGGAAAACATTTTTAGGATGAATTTTTCTTTTAAATTCTTTTAGAAGTGCATCGTCAAGTTTGGATATGCAAGATTTTTAAGTCTTTACTTAGAAATTACGTCACTACAACTTAAGTTAAAACTTGGGTAACCCTTAATAAGCTTATTCTTAGACTTACACACAAATTCTCAACAGCTTACGTAATCTACATCAAATAAACAACAAAAAAATACTTACAAAACGGGAAAAAACTTCACATAACTTGCACAACACAAAAATAGGTTTATAACCTCCAAATTCAATAAAAGAACAAAACAAAAATATTACTTAAACGTTTCTTATTGGATTTAAATTATCAAAACATTATTTTATTGTATTTTTGTTACGTTATCCGGGCGTGTTTTGTTTGTTACGCGGGAGCGTGCACGTCCGCTCCGTGCGACGGTTCGTAAGCGACTGGTTTCTTGCCTTGACTTGAATACTTGATTGGGTTAGGCTGCGTTTACGCAGGTGTAATGAAAGGAATGTTGTAAAGTGTATGGGATTGTTAGCTTTCTTACAATAATACTTACTAAGGTTTTTTTTATGTCATTTAAGTAATCATTTATTTTTGTAAGTGCTCTTTTGTTTTAGAACTAAGGTTTTCTACCGTCGTACTGCTGCAGAACGTTTCAGCTTTTTAACGAAATTGAATATAGTGTTAAGTATGGAATGCTATCAGACGTTACCAAGTTCTAGACGTCATCATAACCTAGCTAACCTAGTCTAGAAGTGTATGAAAATAGATTCTCCTCGAATTGCCTTGGACATCATCACACCATCAACCTATTTATAAGTGCCCACTGCTGTGCAAAGGCCTCTTCTCTCACGGAGACGGTTTGAGTATTAATAATTTTTTGCTTGCTCGAGGTGAATTGGCGTTTTCACACTTATAACTATTATAAGTTTAGGTTTCCTCACGATGTTTTCCTTCACCGTATGTCAGTGGTGTCTAAATAATCATAGGAAGTACATATAACTCGGTACGTAAGTCACATTGGTACTTTCCAGTTCACCGAACCTGTCAATTGTCATACATGGGAAGCAGGCGCCTTAACCTCCAGTGGACTCATACCATACCAATATTTAAAGCGCTTTCTAAATCACCCTTGAGGAGTGACTGTAATCATCAGTTAGTTTCTGTCCATTGCTAGTGCTGGACCACTCCTATAGCATATCACTAAGCTTAATCTTCAGCTCTTTACATTTCATTCAAGACCTGTACACCAAAAGCAAGCCAATACATCAATAGTCTATTAATCGTGGGCGTCCATTTGACGCGGTTTGGTCGGTTCTTTCCACAAGAGTAAGAGCTGTTATTTTTATGAATAGAAAGCGGTATTTTTTTAAATTTATCACATGTCTTCTCTCTCCCAGGATGAAGCTACAGAGTTTCAGACTCTTACTGACTAAAAACCATAACGTTTTTCCTTTTGCTCTAAGCTGGGCCCGCGGTACCTTATTTAGCTTATCCCGCAAATCCATCTGAATGCTAATGGCGGAATCCGCGGAAATCAAGAACAGACCGACTCAACCGTAGAGAAAGCACTGCCTCGTAGAACCGACGAGTGCTGCGTTGTGTGAGTGAGGTTATTGGAGAAACCAGCTTTTGATTCTGCTTCTCTCAATCCCTAAATCCTCAAAACCCTAATCTCCAAAAGGTCAGCAACGCTCGTAACTCCTCCGTTGTTGGCGGCGCTGATTGCTTACCATCAGCTAATACGTCGCTCGAAACCCGTCGTCGTATCACATAAAAAAACATACATTGTGCACAAATTGTAATACAAAATTCGTAGTGGAAGCACTGGAGTAAGACGGAAATGACGTCGGTAAGCGCAGGGGCACTGGAGCGGTAACTTAATGACTAAGAAACTTACACAGTCACTGCCCACGCTTGAAGATAGTAAGGAAAACAAAACGCTATATCATATTACTTACGGAAGGGTTTGGATTTTATTCTTCTTTTTTTAAAAAAACATTGCCCCACACTAGGATTTTCTCCTGTGTCGTGGGTGCGTTTATAAACATACTAATTCAGATACACATCACACTCAGACCCGGAACAAGAAGTTGTGCATCACACTAATAGTTGTTCCGTGCGGGTATCGAAGCCGCGACACGTTGTACAGCAGCCATTTGTTAGCCACTGCGCCAATCGTACAGTCATTTAACTCAACTTATTAATGTGAGGCCTTTTTTAAAGTGATATCCATTGTTTTTTATTTAATGTGGTAAACGAGCACACGGATTATCTGATGGTAAGCAATCAGCGCCGCCTACGGACACCCGTGACACCATAGGTGTTACAAATGCGTTGCCGGCCTTTTAGGGATAAGGGTTTCAGATTGGGGACAGGATTAGGAAGGAATGGGGGATGGGGAAGGATTGGTCCTTCGGTAACCTCACTCACACGGCGAAACACAACGCAGTGGTTGTTTCACGTCAGTTTTCTGTGAGGCCGTGGTATCACTCCGGCCGAGCTGACCCATTCGTGCCAAAGCTCTCTCACACCTTAACCTTTTTAAAAATGCAGGATTATTTGTGTTTCATTTCTTTTTTTATTGATTTTGTTAACAATGTGTCATCGCCTTTACTTCACACGATTGCGAAGTGAGCCTTCGAAGTTTGAATTTTCAAATAATACCAAAATGTCTCAACTCAACACTCAATTCAAACAAAAACGTACCTTATCCTACACAGTTTAAGTTTGAAATTCCATATGTTTAATTTTTTTAGCTGTCTGGTAGATCAACGTATGGGATTTTTTACTTTACTATTCAAAGATTTAAGATTGTTTTTTGAATGTGTAATAAAAGTGTTGCCACAAAAGTTTAGATCACCAAGGAGTTATTACGAATCTCATTCAGTTTACCGACTTTCAAGAGAAAGGTTATGTGTTATGTCATTTTTCTTTTAAATTTTACGACGTTGTTAGGTTGGAAGTGTGATAATATTATTCTCAAAAGCGATATTGTCCTTAAGTAAAGTCTAGAGGTAATGTTTATACAAAAATTTCTAGACCATTACTAGTCCTTAAAAATTGGAAAGTGAGTTTGTTTGTTTGTTTGTTCCTTCTTTACGCCGTAACTACTGAACGGATTGCTTTGAAATTTGCAAAACGTAAAGTTAGAAGTTCAGATTAAATAATAAGATATTTTTTATCCGGAAAATGTATATTGCAAACAAATTTGCATATATGTATAAAATTCCACACGGGTGAAGCCGCGGCCGGAAAGCTAGTGTTAAATAAGCCTCGGCTGCTTATATTGAATAGATAGAACCGACTAAATAATAATAAAAAATAGTGTGGGAGAGCCAAACTTCGGCACGCATCGGTCGGCTCGATCGGAATGATACCATGGCCTTACAGAAAACTGGCGTGAAACAACCACAGCGTTGTATAATTTTGTAAATCCGACCAGCAGTTCCAAAGATTACCCCCTACATACAAACTTACAAATTTTACCTCTTTATAATATTAGTAGATATAGATAAGTATATAATATTTGCGTCGTTCAGTCCAGCTAAAAACGCTGCTGTTTTTAAAATCCCAGGATAGGTACATTACTTTTAAACGCGTGTGAAGTTGCGGGCGGAAGCTAGTTAAAAATAACGACTTAATCACTTGAATTAACAAAGTAACGCTCAACTAGTTTCAAGTCACAGCGGGAATCTTATTCATGAGCAGAATGCGTTTTGCTGCGTAGTCACACAGCCGACGAGATTACATGAAAATACTAGGACTTGATAGAGATCATCGTATACGACAAACATTAGTAGACGTGTAGTGTGGGAGAGCCATGCTTCGGCACGAATGGGTCGGCTCGACCGGAGCGATACCACGGCCTCACAGAAAACCGACGTGAAGTTACACATTAGTGTTGGAGAGTCATGCTTCTGTACTAATGGGTCGGCTCGACCGGAGTGATACCACGGCCTCGCAGAAAACCGACGTGAAGCAACACTTTAGTTTTGCAGAGTCATGCTTCGTTACTAATAGGTCGGCTCGACCGTAGTGATACCACGGCCTCGCAGAAAACCGGCGTGAAGTTACACATTAGTGTTCGAGAGTCATGCTTCGGTACTAATGAGTCGGCTCGACCGGAGTGATACCACGGCCTCACAGAAAACCGACGTGAAGCAACACTTTAGTTTTGCAGAGTCATGCTTCGGTACTAATGGGTCGGCTCGACCGGAGTGATACCACGGCCTCGCAGAAAACCGGCGTGAAGCAACACTTTAGTTTTGCAGAGTCATGCTTCGGTTTGAATAGGTCGGCTCGACGGGGCGTGATACCACGGCCTCACACACACTGTGAAACCACCACAGCGTTGTATTTCGCCGTGTGAGTGAGGTTACCGGAGGCCCAATCCTTCCCCTCGATCCTCAATTTTGAAATTCCGGAACTGTGAACAACAAAAAATCCGAGCGTGTGAATTATCTACCTATAAACGGACCTGAATGAAACCGGACTGGAGATAGATTATAGTCTGGAATAACACACAGCTTCCTTTTTACCTTGGTAGTGTGGGCGAAACCGCAAATTGAAAGTAGTATACTTACACAAAAAAATAACCACAACCCCAGAGATGAAAAGTAAACTACATTTTTAATTTAAAATCTTACCTATTTAGTTAAGTCCGTAAGTTATGGCAATCCTCGAACTTCAAAATTTCTTGTAAACACAGATTTACATTTACATTTTCAACAGTGGCAACCCTTAGGGAGTTTAGTTTGAACCCTACATGAATGTATATTGTTTCTCTATTGTTAACTAGCTACTCTCACGCGGTTTCACCCGCTGCTCAGTTCGCTAGCTAGCGTGATGTTTTTTAGCCTATAGCATTCAGGAACATTGTAGCTATCTATGAGTGAAAGAATTTGGGCAATCCGACCAGCGGTTCCAAAGATTACCCCTACATACAAACTTACAAATTTTACCTCTTTATAATATTTGTATAGATTTTCTTGAATTACTTATAGTTATACGACCCGCCCCGGCTTCGCAAGGTAGCAACGCTGATACTAAATTTCTCCACTATGTAATGGATGTTATTATACATATAAACCTTCCTCTTCAATCACTCTATTTATTGAAAAATCCGTATTAAAGTTCGTTGCGTAGTTTTAAAGATTGAAGCGTACATAGGGATATAGGGACAGAGAAAGCGACTTTGTTTTATACTATGTAGTGAAAATTGTGATGAAGACAAAGAAAAGAAAAACATCGCGAGGAAACTTGAACTTATAATTTATAATTATAAGTTTGTAATTGCCAATCCGGCTTGAGCAAGCATGGTGATTAATGCTCAAACCTTCTTCGCTTTAAGATAGGCTTTTGCTCAGCAGTGGGCACTTACAGGCTGATGATGATTACTATTAAACACAATAATAATAATATAATCTACCTTAATTAACATTTCTAGTT